TTTTCTCCACTGTGTGTTCTTAAATGTCTAATAAGGGTACCTCTTTGAGCAAAACCTGTATCACACTGAGAACACTTAAATGGTTTCTCTCCTGTATGTGTTTTAAGGTGGCTATCAAGATGAATCTTTTGAGAAAATAAATTATCACAATAGGAACATCCATGAGGCTTTTCTCCACTGTGTGTTCTTAAATGGGTAGTAAGATAACTTTGGCAAGTAAAAACCTTATCACACTGGGAACACTTAAAGGGTTTCTCTCCTGTATGTGTTCTAAGGTGGGCAGTAAGAATAGTCTTTACAGAAAATGTCTAATCACACTGGGAACACTTAAATGGTTTCTCTCCTGTATGTGTTCTAAAGTGTCTAATAAGGGTTCTTCTTTCAGAAAAACCCTTTTCACAGTTGGAACAGTGAAAAGGCTTTTCTCCTGTATGTGTTCTAAGGTGGCCAGTAAAATGACTCTTTTGAGAAAACCCCTTATCACACTGGGAACACTTGAAAGGTTTCTCTCCTGTATGTGTTCTAAGGTGTCTAATAAGGGTACTTCTTTCAGAAAAACCCTTTTCACAATAGGAGCATTGATAAGGCTTTTCTCCACTGTGTGTTCTTAAATTTCTTATAAGGTTACTTCTGTGAGAAAAACCCTTATCGCACTGGGAACATTTGAAAGTTTTCTCTCCAGTTTGTGTTCTAAGGTGGCTAGTACGCTCATTGTCGACCTGGTGTGTTTTCTGATGTAGTATAAGAGTGTTCTCATCTGTAAATGTCTTACTGAAATGTAAACACAGATGGGTCTTCTCTCCACTGCATGCTGTTAAATGTGGGTGTATATTGTCTTGTCCATTGTCCAACTCTAGGGAGGAAAAGAAAGTAATTACATCCCTATCGAACAGAAGGTCAAGTTCTAGTATTAAAGTGTCGAAATCAAAATCACTGTAGAGTAAAGAAATATCACCAGGCGTATTCAGTCTGCCTAGATGCAGATTGATTAAAACCTTCAATAGTCAACTTTGCATAATTACATCAGTTTTGACAGGATACATTGAAATCTTCGATATGTGTGTAAGTCAAAGAAAATTTGACTTTTGCCCAAGTTGACTTTGACGGGACCAAGCAAAATGCATCTAATTCGATGATTTTTTATTTCTATTTAAGTCAAAATGAATTAAACCAAATCTGGTCCCAAACAGAACTCGGGAACTTGTCAGCAGTTTTTTTTTTATATTATAGTTTTTATCCAAACTCAGAAAATAAGAACGTTACCGTTATTTTTTTTCATGTACACGGTATATGACTGCAGACTTCTGTTAAAACTTAGACAATAAAATTACTATCTACAAGAATATATTGCCAATAAGGAGGAAGAGAACTGCGAAATCAGTTTTTCATTATATCACAAACAAATTATTTTATGTAGCGCCCGTTGCAACAAAACTCAACTTTCCCTTTATTTTAAAACCTAATTCAACGTCAGAAAAATACAAAGTTGTGAAGGTGTTGATTTGTCGGAAAAGTATATTAGAAAACATGAAGTGAATATATAATAGTGACTTTCAAAGAAGATTTGGAAGAATTAATAAGGAAGCCAAATTCAAGCTATACACCTGATGATAAATAATGAGGCTGTTAGATTATATTGCACACCTTATAGTGCATTCCTATAAAATATATGCATGAAATTTAATTGGTAAGTCAATGGCTGAAGCATATATGCTTAGACATCACAAAATCTTTTGTTAAATCATTAAAAGGGAATTCCACCCTCATCTAAAGCTGGTTTTGCGGAAGCAGAAAAATGACAGAATCATCTCAGTGAAAGTTTGAGCAAAAAACGATCGAAAATAAGAAAGTTATGAATTTTTTAACGTGCAATCAAACATACACAAATTGGTAACTCTGTGACGTTTCTTTCAAGCTCCCCTCCCATTTACCCTGAACTAAAAAAAATTAAAAATATATATATACTTTCCCTCAAAAAAATTATCAATCTTACATTCACACTAAATGTAATTATTAACTATAGATGGAACTTTGACTGCAGGCAGTCGAAAATGACGCCTCTGTCATAGAGCAATTTTACAAACCAAAACAGAAGAAATTTTTCAAATTCAAGTTCAATTGTAATCCATTAAAAGGTTCTCAGAATATTGTGATTACCAGCCATTTCTCATATACATATATGACCCTATGATCTTTGACCAAATGACCCTAAAATCTAATCAGTTCATTGGCTTTGCAAGATATTCATGCCCTAAGTTTGATTGCAATCCATCCGTCAGTTCTAATGAGAATGCGTTGACAAGCCATTTTTGCATGCATAATGAGCCTCATGACATTTGACCTTCGACCTCATGACCCCAGAATGTACGCAGTTCATTACATACATGTCTTGAGTTTGATGGTAATCCATCCATTGGTTCTAATGATAATGCAATCACAAGCTTTTTTTGCATACATAATGAGCCCTGTAACCTTTGACCTCGTAACCCAAAATCTACTTGATTCATTGGTTCTGCAAGATACATACATGACCTAAGTAGGGCAGGATACATAGATCAGTTCTTGAGATAATGCAATCACAAGCTATTTTTGCAAACATAACGATCCCTGTGACCTTTGACCTTTGAGCTCGTGACCCTAAAATCTAATCAGTTCATTAGCTCTGCAAGATACAAGGATTGGCAGGAATCCATCAACCTGTTCTTGAGATAACGCGAATACGAGGACAGGACGTACAGACGTACGGGCAACCCAAAAACATAATGCCTTAGGATATTTCATAACTGCATGAGGCAGAAAAAACACATACAGGTATGAAGAATCAGATGTAGTTTGAGATATGAATATTAATAACGTTATGGTACAAAAAAAGTTACACAATTTTTCTATTCTCTGTGTGAAAGAAATATATTAAAAAACAGATAACACAAAACAGTTAGAACTAGATGGAACTTTGACTGCTCGCAGTCGAATATGATGCCTCCGCCATATAGAGCGATTTCACAAACCAAAACAGCAGCAATTTTTCAAATTCAAGTTTAATTGTAATCAAGTAACAGCTCCTCAGAATATGGTGATTGCAAGCTATTTTTCATATATATGTATGACCCTTTGAACTTTGACCTCATGACCTTAAAATCTAATCAGTTCATAGGCTCTGCAAGATACATACCCGATATATGTATAGTTTGATAGTAATCCAGCCATCAGTATTGACAATGCATTCACAAGATAGTTTTGCATTAATAATGAGCCCCATGACCTTTGACCTCAGGACCCCAAAATCTAATCAGTTCATTGGCTCTGCAAGATACATATATGAACTAAGTTTGGCGGTAATACATCAGTCGGTTCTTGAGATAACGCGATCACAAGCTATCTGTTCATACATAATGAGCCTTGTGACCGACCTCGTGACCCTAAAATCTAATCAATTCATGAGCTCTAACTGCAAGTTACATACATGACCCGAATTTGGTGGTAATCCATTGCTTCTTGAGATAATGTGATCACTAGAACGGGACGTGAGGACGGACGGACGGAAACCAGAAATGAAAATGGAAACTGGATCTGACTTCACAAGAACAAATTCCTGTACCACTATACCACTGCACCACCGCTTGAAATTACAATACAGTGGCAAAATCGTTTCACAATGCCACTTCTGACAACTTTAGATTCCAGATTACGAGAATTTCAGTTCAAATTCCTCCATCAAAGAATTTCTCCAAATTATTATTTGCACTGTATTGGTATAAAAAGTACACCGATGTGCAATTTTGGTCAAACAAATATATATGCAAACGTTCATTCATTTGTTCTTTACGTGTCCTGTTGTAAAAACATTCTGGAAAGATATCAGTAATTTGCTCCGTGAATTCAAATTATTTAGTTTTCCATTCTCAGTCACAGATATATGTTTTGGAGTTGAGAAGAGTAACAAAATAATTAACACTTTTGCTTTTGTTATGCATGGTCAACTCTTTATTTTTCGAAATAAATGCCCCAAAAATAACTTAAAATTTATACAGTTCAAGTTTTTTTCTCCAAAATATTTAATGAAAACAAATCTCATTCATATTAACAGTAGTACATGATAATAATAATAGTAATAATAACATGATCGTATAGACATAGAATATGTATAATAAAAATATAGTGTAATAGTTAACTCATCAGCAATATAAAAAAAAAAGTTAACAAAATATCTGCCTTTTCTTATTATGAAGATCGAGACAATTTTTCTTGAAAGCAATTATATGTTTCATATTTTCTAAAGGTTTGAGAGCTCGTTGAAAAGAAGGAAATAGTGGAATAAGGTTTTGCATTTTACAAGTGAATATAAAATATTTTGCAAAAAAGAAATAACTGTATTGACGAATTAAAAATTATTGATTATATTCTTAACATATATCATATCAGAATTAAAACGTATATTAATATTGAGAGGTTTTCTGCCTACCAGTATATGAGAATTCAGGCAAAAGGGTTGGGAAATAATTTCTTTGAATTTAACTATGTTGTAGTACTTGTAGTGACTCCATGCAATCAATATATCATTCCAGAAAGGATCTGTGTATTTATTGAACATTAAATGATCAGAGCAGAGATTGCTGCTGAAAAAAAATATCACCTCCCATACGTCTCAGAGAATGTGCAAAAAACATTTTCCATTTACTTTTGTTGTCTTCATCTAAGTATCTCTTTATCCAAGTAACTTCATTGCACGGTTAAAAGATAATAAATGAGGCATTTTAAGGCCTCCTCCTTTATATTCATTGTAAAGTAAAGAACGTCTAATTTTGTCCTTCTTATTACTCCATACAAATTTAAAGAGTACTCTCTGAAGTTCTGAAAAGAATGATAAAGGGGGATCAGGAAGAATACAAAGTAAATAAATCAATTTTGGTACAACTAGAGATTTAATAATGGTCACAGTTCAAGTTGGAAATTATTTATTTAGAAAAAGTGGAAAGAGTTATTACCACAAGACAAGAACATACATTGAAATGGCAAAACAAGTATGTAAAAATTGTTATCAATGTTATCTTCAATGTATTCTGTAAGCTATATTTCATAATGTACCACTCATTATTATGTAAATGTCCTTCACAAACTGCTTTTTTATGCATTCAGATTTGAAGCAATATATAAACCTAGGATTATATTATTATAAAGACCACTTATACAACAAAATCCCTTTATTACTTTTAAGACATATATGTGACATTTCTACTCTGTGTGTTATCAGGCAATTATCAAGATCATGCACTGTATAAACGATAAAATCCCTTTCAGAACAAAGTCAACATTTCAATGGCTTTTCTCCAGTATGTATTTTCAGATAACTAGTAAGATTACTGTTAAAAGAAAATCTCTTAAAACAATCCTAACATTTACAGGGTGTGTTCTTATATGCCTTGTGAGCTCACTTTTATGAGAAAATTCCTTATTTTTTAGGAACACTCTCTCCTGTAGTAACATCCCATTGATAAGAAAATGTTATATTACAATCATGACATTCATAAGGTTTTCCCTAGTGTGTGTCCTCACATGACAGGTAAGATGACCTTTTTTCAGAAAAACCTGTACTCACACTAAGAACATTAAAGGGTTTCCCACCTGAATGTTATCTAAGCTAGCTAATAACATCCTTTGATAAGAAAAATCTCATATTATAATTGAGACATTTTTAAGTTATTTTTTCTAGTACATGTATGTGTCCTAATACTATGATTACGATCACCTAGTTGAGAAAAATCTTATCACAATGGGAACATTAATGAGGCTTTTCTCCTCTGTGTGTACTTAAATGACGTGTAAGGGTACTACTTTGAGATAAACCTTTATCACAAACTTACAATTTATAGGGTGTGTTCTTATATGCCTTGTGAGCTCACTTTTATGAGAAAATTCCTTATTTTTTAGGAACACGCTCTCCTGTAGCAACATCCCATTTATAAGAAAATGTTATATTACAATCATGACATTCATAAGGTTTTCCCTAGTGTGTGTCCTCACGTACATGACAGGTAAGATGACCTTTTTCAGAAAAACCTGTACACACACTAAGAAAATTAAAGGGTTTCCCACCTGAATGTTATCTAAGCTAGCTAATAACATCCCTTTGATAAGAAAAATCTCATATTATAATCGAGACATTTTTATGTTATTTTTTCTAGTACATGTACATTGTGTATGTGTCCTAATACTATGATTACGATCACCTAGTTGAGAAAAATCTTATCACAATGGGAACATCAATGAGGCATATCTCCACTGTGTGTTCTTAAATGGCGTATAAGGGTACTACTTTGAGAAAAACCTTTATCACAATGGGAACATTTGAAAGGTTTTTCACAATGGGAACATTGTAGAGGCTTTTCAGTCAGGCTGTGTGATCTTAAATGTCCACTGAGAGAAGTTTTATGGGGAAAACCCTCATTACACTGGGAACACTTAAATAGTTTCTCTCCTGTTTGTATTTTAAGGTGATGTGTAAGATTATTCTTTTCGGAAAATCCTTTATCACAATATGAACATTGGTAAGGTTTTTCTCCACGGTGTGTTCTTAAATGTTTAATAAGGGTACCTCTTTGAGAAAAACCTTTATCACAATCTTAACATTTATAGGGTGTGTTCTTATATGCCTTGTGAGCTCACTTTTACGAGAAAATTCCTTATTTTTTAGGAACACTCTCTCCTGTAGTAAAATCCCTTTTATAAGAAAATGTTATACTACAATCATGACATTCATAAGGTTTTCCCTAGTGTGTGTCCTCACATGACAGGTAAGATGACCTTTTTTCAGAAAAATCTGTACACACACTAAGAACATTAAAGGGTTTCCTACCTGAATGTTATCTAAGCTAGCTAATAACATCCCTGTGATAAGAAAATCTCATAATATAATTGAGACATTTTTATGTTATTTTTTTCTAGTACATGTACATTGTGTATGTGTCCTAATACTATGATTACGATCACCTAGTTCAGAAAAAATCTTATCACAATGAGAACATCAATGAGGCTTTTGTCCACTGTGTGTTCTTAAATGGCGTATAAGGGTACTACTTTGAAAAAAAACCTTTATCACAATGGAAACATTTGAAAGGTTTTTCTCCACTGTGTGTTCTTAAATGTCTAGTAAAGTGACTTCTTTGAGAAAAACCCTTATCACACTGGGAACACTTAACTGGTTTCTCTCCTGTATGTGTTCTAAGGTGGCTAGTCAGCTCATTCTTTTGAGAAAATGTCTTATCACAATGGGAACATTGTAGAGGCTTTTCAGTCAGGCTGTGTGATCTTAAATGTCTACTAAGGGAAGTTTTATGGGAAAAACCCTCATCACACTGGGAACACTTAAATGGTTTCTCTCCTGTGTGTGTTCTAAGGTGACGTGTAAGATTATTCTTTTCAGAAAATCCTTTATCACAATATGAACATTGATGAGGTTTTTCTCCACTGTGTGTTCTTAAATGTTTAACAAGGGTACCTCTTTGAGCAAAACCTGTATCACACTGAGAACACTTAAATGGTTTCTCTCCTGTATGTGTTCTAAGGTGACATGTAAAATTATTCTTTTCAGAAAATCCTTTATCACAATGGGGACATTGATACGGCTCTTTTTCTCCACTGTGTGTTCTTAAATGGGTGGTAAGATAACTTGGGCGAGTAAAAACCTTATCACACTGGGAACACTTAAAGGGTTTCTCTCCTGTATGTGTTCTAAGGTGTCTAATAAGGGTACTTCTTTCAGAAAAACCCTTTTCACAATGGGAACAGTGAAAAGGCTTTTCTCCTGTATGCGTCCTTAGATGCTTTCCTAGATTACTTTGGCAAGTAAAATCCTTATCACACTGGGAACACTTAAATGGTTTCTCTCGTGTATGTGTTCTAAGGTGGCTAGTAAGCTCATTCTTTTGATAAAACATCTTATCACAATGGGAACCTCGTTGAGGCTTTCCCTTAAGGTTGTGTGTTCTTATATGTCTAATAAGGTTACTTTTATAGGGAAAACCCTCATCACACTGGGAACATTTAAAGGGTTTCTCTCCTGTATGTATTCTAAGGTGGGTAGAAAGACTAGTCTTGTAAGAAAATTTCTTAATACAATGGAAACATTGATGAGGCTTTTCTCCACTGTGTGTTCTGAAATGTCTACGAAGGGTACATTTATGGGAAAATGCCTTATCACACTGGGAACACTTGAAAGGTTTCTCTCCACTGTGTGTTCTTAAATGGCTATTAAGGGTTCCTCTTCGAGGAAAAGCTGTATCACACTGGTAACACTTAAATGGTTTCTCCCCTGTATGTGTTCTAAGATGACGAGTAAGACTAGTCTTGTAAGAAAATGTCCTATTACAATTGGAGCATTGATGAGGCTTTTCTCCACTGTGTGTTCTAAAATGTCTACGAAGGGTACTTTTATGGGAAAATCCCTTATCACACTGGGAACAATTGAAAGGTTTCTCTCCACTGTGTGTTCTTAAATGGCTATTAAGGGTTCTTCTATGAGAAAAACCCTTATCCTTATCACACTGGGAATACTTGAAGGCTTTCTCTCCAGTATGTGTTCCAAGGTGGCTAGTAAGCTCATAGTCGACCTGGTGTGTTTTCCGATGTAGTATAAGAGTGTTCTCATCTGTAAATGTCTTACTGCAATGTAAACACAGATGGGTCTCCTCTCCACTGCATGCTGTTATATGTGGGTGTATATTGTCTTGTCCATTGTCCAACTCTAGGGAGGAAAAGAAAGTAATTACATCCCTATTGAAGAGAAGGTCGAGCTCTGGTAAGTGCCAGAATTAAAATGAAAATCACTGAAGAGTAAGGATATATCACCAGGCGTAACCAGTCTGCCTAGATGCAGACTATTATGTTATGCTTAAAACCTTCAATACAGTCAACTTCGCATACATCAATTTTGACAGGATGAATTGAAATTTTCGATATGTGTGTAAATCAAAGAAAATTTGACTTTCGCCCAAGTTGACTTTGATGGGACCAAGCAAAATGCATTTAAGTAGATGATTTTTGCTTTCTATGTATTAAATCAAAATTAATTAAACCATATCTGGTCCCAAACAGAACTCAGGAACTTGCCAGCAGTTTTCTTGATTTTATAGTTTTTATCCAAACTCGGTTTAAACTGTTGTGCAGACATCCAGAAAATAAGAAAGATACCAGTATTTTTTTCATGTACACGGTATATGACTGCAGACTCATGTTAAAACTTGGACAATAGAATTACTTTCTACAAGAATATATTGCCAATAAGGAGGAAGAGAACTGCAAAATCTGTTTAATATAATGAATGAATGGGTACTGAATACGGAATCGTAACATTTATGAATCAATGATATTGAATTAAGCTACCATTATTGTGCAAACTGTTGATAGATATAGTAGGATCTTCGAAACAATCTACTACGGTCCCATACTTGATGTAACGGTTAGTGAACTGCATACATGCATTATGATAATAATACCGGTGTGATAATCGTGATTGCAGTGACGTAGTAATTAGTGTCGACCCTAGCGCTAGTCCAGCTACTACAATGCCTCCCAAACAGACAGCAATAGCATAAGCTATCAATTAGGAGCTCCTAGACAGTGAGGACTCCAAGGAGGCACTCTCAAACAATGGTAGTAGCAAATTAGATGAAATCTCAAATAAGTTTGATGACATTTACCGAAACTTGATCATCATGATCAACGCTTCATATCTATTGAAAGTCTCAGAAAGTCAGATATTAAAATAACTTATGTTTATGATGAACTCGCAACAAATTTCAGTACTGTAACGAACCAGTTCGCCACAATTTAAGTTATCTTGCAGAAAACGTAGGGGGCGCAGTAAGCTTTAGGGGCATAAGGGCTCAGAGCGCGATTACAGACGCACCATGCATAAAGCAGCTCTCAGAGCGTCTCAGAGGCTATAAATACCAGTATTTTACGGTAATTTTGTCACTTCGACGCTGGCTCTCGTCTTGGTCAGATAGCGAACTCTCCGCTTTTCTCCAGCTGAGCTAAAGTAAGGAAAAGGACTGGAAGCGAGAAATAGAGTTCCTACAAAAGGCAATCCCTGCCTTTACTACTTGTTGAGATTAATACAGGTAATTGGTGTCGGTGTTAACTATGATAACATGTTGGAGAAGTTGACTTATGTTTGTATTAAAATACAAGAAAAATGTGAAAAATTGACATGCCTCCTTTAATCGAAAAAAAAAGCCATGATGCCTTTGTCAAAATGAAAAATTGTGAACACTAAATTTGTAGAAAATTGTCTCAACTAAAACATTTCAAAATTTGAAAGAAAATCAATCAATATTTACAGAGATACAATCAATTTTCCAAAAATCTGCTGACGTCATAATATGCAAATTGAAATTTTGAGTTCGGAGGCCATTATGATGATTTCATGAGTTAATTGAGGGTCAATTGAGACATGAAATCATATTTCCGACTCATAATCTTTCTAAATATGAAAAAATATTGGGAGTTCTTATCTATTCTGAAGAGTTACAACAAACTTTGTATAGGCATGTTTTTGCTCTTGTATTGTGGATAAAGATAGCGCAGGTCCGCGTGCGCTGTCAACTTTGACGGACGTTCATTGCGTTATTAAAAGATGAACAAGTTATCAAAATGCTTGGAAAAATGTGCCAAATATGATGATAGAGAAAATATGGCGATTCTATGTTGCAAAATGCTAGTACGCGCAAAAAACGCGCGCGCATGCGCATGAGCGCGATTTTTTGTCAAATGCTCCATATGGCCTGAAACGTATGCAAAAAAAAATTTGGGATGATTTAGAGCATTTTAAATTTTTGAGCCCGCGGACGAACGCGCACGCGCTCATTTTTGCATGTTTATTGATCTGAAATTGACCGGACGGATATTGATCTTAATCATGAAAAATTCCTTTCCGTTATGAAGATATGATCATAAGTTGATTTTCACAAAATGGCGCCTGGATGACGTCACAATGATTTTGAGTCTTTGAAAAGTCACACAGTTCTAAGTTAGACTAAGATCTATCATCATTGAAATTTTCATGACAATGGCTTTATTCAGTCTTGAGATATCCTGCGAACAAAATGGAGGAAGAATAATAGGAATAATAATAAAAATCTTGACGAAATCAATAGGTGATACGAAGACTTCGTACGTATCACCTAATAATACTGTAAACTTATAGAGCGCACACACCGTCCGGGGACGCTAATGGCGCTTAGCTAGCTCAGCAACAGTTCTTTTTGATACAAGTAAAATAAACAATTTTGCAATATTCATTTATTTAACCCATTTATATCCTCAGCTCTGCCCGGTGGGGCCGGGTGCCCTCCAGCTGCTCTGTTGACGTTCACTGACAATTTAAGGGACTCGCCCAGTCAGCACATTATTCACAGGATCTCTAGGATCTGAGGCCACCAGGCCCCACACGGGCAGCCAATGAGACTAAACGGTGATAACTCATTAATTTCAGATGTATATATACAAATAACATATCAATTATGGATTTAGTAAAATAAACTTATACAAGTTAAGGAAGTACTGAGTTAAAGATGGAATAGGTAAGTCTGATGACAATCTTTATTAAAGGTGGAGTATGTTGCAATATAGCATAGTGATGGGGAAGTTTATTCCATAATTTGGCTGCTGCATGTGAAAAAGCATGGTCTCCCCATAATGATGGGTACGGGGAATTTGCAGCAAATTACCACATCCAGATCTTAAGGTACAAGTTGGATTGTAGGGGTGTAGTGAGTCTTTAATATATTGTGGCAAAATTCCATGGAGAGCCCGATAAACAAGTAACATAATTTTGAAGTGGACCCTTTTCTGGACAGGTAGCTAGTGAAGAGAGCGTAATATAGGCGTAATAGAGGACATTATTGGTGTGAAAGTAAAGAGTCGATTTTGGAGGGATTGCAGTCTGTCTTGCTGCTGTTTGGTTAGTCCAAATAGGAAAGAATTACACAAATCTAATCGAGATGAGATTAATGCATGGATTAATTGTTCACATGCTTTTTGAGTCAAAGATTTTCGTACAAACCCAAGATATGACCATCTGAATAAATATACTCCCCATAGGAACTCAGTGTTATATGCTCTGGCTCCTAACCATTAGAACCAGAGCATATAACACTGAGTTCCCATAGGACATATATGTATTCAGATGGTCATATCTCACCCAATACTTAACATATTTAATTGGTTTTCGACATTTGTACATTATTTTTGATGCTCTTTCGAAAAATAAAAAAAGAATTGCGAAATTCTAAAATTAGATTTTTTATGACGTCACACTTCACCACTCTATAGGTTATATGATGTTTTGGAAGCGCGAACATGTAACTGCACTAACTGACGCTGGTTCTGATATTTCTCACGATCAGACTCTAGGCCCAATTTAAGCCATTTGCGCATTGTTGAACATTGTTGAAGGTTGATGAAAAAAATTGCTTAATTTTTGTATGTTACTTATTATATTCCTTCTACTGTACTAACCCTCTGACATGCAAAAAATCCTGAAAAAATTCTCAAACCACGAAGATATCTATGGTTTTCTTTGAAGGTGTCAATGTATGACACTCTCTAACAGTGATTAACAGTAAATTCTCCCAACCATTTTTGAATTTTCCCAAACGTTTTTCCATGAAAAAAGACATATAGAACAGGCTATGAAAAATCTGTCAACACTTAAATGTCTGGAATGGAATGTAGAGCCATTTTATTGCTTTGTGAGATTTCCATTCACCTAAAATGCAATTAAATTGTAATGATATAGTTGGGAGAATTAAGGAATCGATCAGATCAGTTTTTTCCAATTTGTACCATGAATAATGGTCTGTTTTCACTCAAATTTTAAGATTATCTTTAATTGTACATCTAGCATTGAAGTCACTACCTTAGCACCACTTTCTCTCATCTGTGATGCAACCTTGTCTCATATACACCAAAAATGTCAAGGTCATAATATCTATAACAAAGTCATTGAATTCAGAGTTTTTATTATGAATCGGGCGGGTATTAATCATACAAATAATTATTATGCTATTATTGATATAATTATATAATGTGTTAATTTCCAAGGAATTTACATGTTTTGTTAATTTCATTAGTAATGTTAGTAATATTAAGTAATGTTAATTTGTTAAGTTATGTTAGTAATATTTGATCTTCTTGTTAATTTAAGTAATGATAATTTGTTAAGTTATGTTAGTAATATTTTGTTTTCTTGGTAATTTGAGTAATGTGATTCCATTTTAGTAATATTGAATTTTTTTTTTAAAGTAATTTTGATTTGTGTACATGTACAGTGCTTTGAAACAGTTGTCACAAGCGCTATATAAATTTTTCATATTATTATTATTATACAAAAGGAGACACTCTGTTGTGGTTGATCAAGTTTATCCTTTGAACGGTGAGGCAGTGATGCCTTACAATCGTTTCGGTGACAGTTTCTATGTTTGCCACCTTGATTTCCCCTGCGCGTTTTGGTATAGAAGGTTGAAGCCCACATGATGTGATAACATTTAAAACGTCATGTGGTAATTCAGTTAACTTGTCTTTCCACTGCCGAAACTCAGCTGTATTATACTTATATACATGTTGTGTGGACTTGAGCTCAGAGGAGGCAGTAGTCACAGTAGGTGTATAATGAATGGTACATTTATTATTATCTGGCCCTGGAATAGGGTGAATATCACCTGCTTTTTAAGATTCAACTTG